CACTGAATACTACGCGGCAAAAGTCGAGAATTCGGTGATACTATATAGTAATGCTCGACTACTAACTCCATATCATGCGCTTCCGATAAAAGAATTACTATTATGTGATGTATTTGTTATTTCCAGGGCGAAGTCTCACCGACTGGCTGGCATCACTCCCGATCGATAATCCTCTCCGTGACCAACAGATGCAATCTCGATCGGACAAGCACGTGGAGAACGGTCACCTTTGCTATCGAGAATTGAGATGATAAGCAGGAACGTGGAGGCAAACCGACGTGGAAAAGATAGCCTCCGAAAAGACAAAAAAATCTCCGGACGAGAAAGAAGAAATTGTGTAGCCGGCTGGATCCGGCCGATATCGCGGCAGCGACTGATAGGCAGTCAACGAAGGAACGCTTTGTTCTTGCCCGTCACAAGGAGTGCAATTTGAAGAGAAAAAAAACCTCTGTTTAAGATTGGTCTTACAAGTATGTGATATTTTCTGACGTTTTTGAACGTTATAATTTATCAAATAAACGATTAACATATGGAAAACGAAGGAATAATGAATTTAATGCTTTTTATTGGAAAAAAATTTGATTAAATATCCTCTGAACTACTGATACAGAAAAATGCTGATTTCAATTAAAATAAAACTGCGTTTTATACGGCTGATCCTCTTTGTCAGAGCATTGTTTTTTGATGTTTAAGTTACACGTACATATTTTCGAATAATAAAAGCTATAACTTTATTGCAGTGGCCCTGTCAGAGTGGCATCATTCTTACTTCATACTGAAATTTATTGTGATAATTAACAGTCGGTTTCTGTATTGATAACGAAAAGAACGAAATTTACTCTGCACTTTTTCTCTTTATTTTTTTACGATAATACGTCAGCGAGTGCCTGATTTCCACGATTTTTGCTACTCGGATGCAATCTTTTTAAGCGATTTCTTGATGAATTTACGTATTTGCATGTAGATGACATTGAGATTATTTCACAATTTCGTTAAATTACACAAAAATGCTATTTAAACATGTCTGTCACTCTGCAAGGTTGAAGTACAATGAAGAGATCTAATTTACGTCTTGTGATAACATTGGCGACGGATGCGCATCACGCCAACGAACATAACTTGTCAGACTAGGCCACAAACTTGGAAATAATGCTGGTACACAAATAATCAATTTCGAAAACGCATGTAAGTTTCGAATCTGTACGGGCTTATTTGCTGGTTTCATACACAATACTTATGAAAAAAGTTTTAAAAAAAAATCAATTAAAAAAAATCAAAGGTTGAAAAATCTAGAACAAAGCCTTTAGTCATCCCTCGTCAGGGATTCCCGTTTTTAAAGACATTACTTTTCGAGGAAATGAACCCGAGTCCAAATGACTTCGGAGAAACCATATTTCTCACTTTCAACTATCATTCTCAGCAGATAGCAACAACAAAACAACCAGCGAAATTTGTAGACGTGAAATTGTCATCAACAAATGGCTCAGAACATGATAAATAACGCGTGTGCTTTTCATACTTTCTATCATTATTTTTTTCGTGCTGATGAGGAGCACATACCAATTGTAACAATCATGTGTTGATGGCTGATCGAGCTGACTGGTTGGACGCTATTTAACAACACCAGGTTGCTCCTTCTATCCACGAGCATTCGCGGAAATTTTCGTCGAAAACGTGATCGAAAACAGTTCTTGCAATAACTAGCTTACTCGATCAGAAAATATATCGAAAAACGTACGAGCGCGCCCTTCAATTGTTGATGACGTCGTTTTGCGGTTCGTATTCGTGATCTGTTCTGTGCACGGCAGATGACACGAGTGAGTTGTGCGGTATGGGTTCTCCACCACGCAGGCCAAAAGCAGTACTAATTTTGCGGCATTTCTCAATCCTCGGCGGCCACTAAATTTACAATTTTTTGGCGAGGATGTCGAGTCTCTACCGTTTGTTGAGCTAATTTCGATATTCGGCATCGGCGATCTGTGTGCAGTCTGGACCCTTCGACTGGCTACAGTTTATATCGGCGTTGTCTTATATAAAAACCCGGCTGTCACGTAATTCCCCCGGCGGCTAACTTCAACGAAAAACGATTGGCACAGTCGAACGAGACAATTTTCTTGGACTTTAGTGGAGAATCATGGGGCTGTTGCAAATGTTAACATAGCCGCAAATGCAGGTGAAATAACTCAGCCTTGTACAAATTCAGCTGACTGGAGTATTTCGTTGAGCGCTGTCCAAGTGTCCGTAGCTGATGATATTTATGTCCAACACTTTGTTTGTAAGCATGACCAAAAGTTCATTCGGTCTGTCTCCAAGACGATAATGTCAAAGGACCGATTCTAATCAGTATTATATTCCGTGCAGTTTATAACCGTTGGAAAACTAAAATAGTTTTGAATAAAATACACTAACCGAACGTATGTTATTTTCCAAATAGTAAGAAAGAATTAAATCCAGGTGTTCAGGATCAGCTCGCTCTCCGAACGTTGAAGACAAGTCCGACAACAAAACAGACAAAACATTGAATATAAAACAGAAACGTGGACATTTTTTCGAGCAGAAAAACGATCGCAAGCCAGCCGAAGATTCTTTTCTTTACTAATTGCGGAAAGTGTACAGAATACTACGGGATTTCTGTTGGCAAATTTGCTCTCGTCGGATGTTGTGTTTCTCGCGATTTGAGAATAAAACTCTTGTAATAATGTTTTCAGTGTTTCCCTGCGGCAGCAACAAGCGGCAATGAAAACGATTGCCAAGCGTCTCCTGTTTCCCCGCTTCCTGTCTCCCGAGTGGACTAAATTTATTTCCGCAACATGAGTTTTAAACAGTGAGTTTTGCTTTTGTATCAAAGTTATAATCTGATGAGCAAAGTTCGATAAACCGAAGATTTCCGAGGGTCAGTGTTGTCTCAAAAGGTAAGACGCGGGCGAAACAAAGAATTGAAAGATTAAGATCGTCAGTGATTCATTCCGGCAAGCCTTCATTTCGGCCGCGGCTCGATTCAATGAAAAGTCTCACTTTTACGTAACGATTATTCGGAAGAATACGCTGTACTATATGCCCCAAGAGGTGAGTTCGGAGAAGTTTGAATATTTTCGATGACGTTTTGAGAGTAAAGTTTCGAGTAATGCCTTTCGGAGAAAATTCTCAGAAAAGTACTGGGAGATTTCAGTAAATAATTTGAAGTCTGAAAAATATTCTTTTGTCTCCAGATATTAGGCAAAATTTTCCGCGTTTTCCGCTGCTGGTGTAATTGTTATTATATAATATGTTTGTAATGATTTTTTGGTAAATATCAGAAAATCTGAATGACAAGTTTTGCTTCCCATCTTTTCTCTATCTCGGCGTTCGTTACTTATATTCGTTCCGCAGTTTTTGGCTACTTTTCTTGTATTTGAAACTTTGAGACGAACATGCGCAATAAAATTACTTGCATGTCATGGTTTCACCCTTCCTGTTTTTTTGTTCGCTACAATTACGTACCTTATTTCTTCGCAGACATGTGTTTGCCGCCTTCAAAGGGAAAAAGGTTCGGGTAGGCAGCTGTCCGCGACCCTACTTCCGATCGGGCCCAGAGCACAAAATACTTTCTGATAACTGATTTTATCGAAACTTTTTGGAAATTTTGAAGTCGTCTACATCGGTAAACTGATTTTCCTGCGTTGGAAGGATTCTCATTTCAAAAGTGAATTTTGAGGCGTTGTGAGCGCTTCACAGATTTATTTTCTCGTAGTTCCAAATTGTAATATAAACAGGAAACTTTCGTTGCTAAACGCAAAACAAAATTACGATTTTGTTTCCATCGTCTTATCTTACTGATCTTTAAGCAAATTTTCCTCCTATATCAAACTCTTTTTCCAATGATATTTTCATTCGCTTGCCCCATTTCTTGTTGAACCGGAAATTAAAAATTAATCATGCATAAAATGAAGAAAATATTGCCAATAAAAACGCTGACGTCGGTAGCCGACTATACAGCATCAAACATGAGTGTTGTAAAAATCTCTATCATATTTATATCGATATTGAAAGCATGATAGCCCGCTTGTGTCAGCCTTTCTATTTGGTAGATTTCTCAGACCCCAAGCTCCCGCCGGACCTGCAGGTCAATTCCGACTTTGCGCTACGACTCAAAACGAAAGTTGAGTCGAAGAAATAATCCTAGAAACTGAGCGGGATCCAAGTTTTTTGCCGGTAAAATTTTCGAGGAGAATTACAAATTGCGGGTTTTGTAATGCGTCGAAACGCCCTTGAATTAAAAAACGTTATTACATTTTTTCGGATAAATGGGGTTTTCGAGATGGAGTCTGAGACCTGTACAGGAGGTTTGACAGAATCGTGTAAAATTTGTCAGTACACGAACAATAAGCGCGATTCACCCCAAAAAATTTAAGTAAGTTAAATAACCTCGTCTTTCAGGACTTTCGTAGCGTTTCACAACACTCCACGCCGCCCATAATGGGATCGGCAAACTCGGAAGCAGCGTAACAGCTTCCCACTGACCAGCGCCGGCAGTTAGAGTATTCGCGTTCTCTGTGTTGAATTACAGCCAAGATATTGGCGAGTAATACCGTCAAATATGTCACGGCCTAATTACGTCAAATCAGAATACAAAAATTTCTGATAACAAATGTAAAAAAAGACTACAATCCGAACATACAGAGATTTTATTTGACTGAAAACGTTTTTTTATTGGGCCGCACCTTGCCAAACCTTGAATCACCCAAATTGTAAAGGAGTCTGATAACAATCTTCTTCATTTTCGAAAACAAGCACTGCCCCTCGAGCTACCTTTTGCGGAATTCACCCTGAGATGATACGGACGGTGCAGATACTGGGTTAAGACGCCCGTTTCCCCACGATTCTATAATCGTTTTATCATTTCAAGATCTCAGGATTTCATGTAATCATATTGCAGCAAGAACTGATATGCATATCAGCTTACAAATGTTTTATGTTTTTTGTTTAGCTGTGATCACCTTAATCTAGAAATAGGCCTTTAAATGGTTTTACGTTGTATTATCCATTTTACAATATTCAGCACGCTGCCGCTGGTTGCGCAAGACCCAACCACAAAGCCACTCTCCCCGAAGCAAGAAGCCGGTATCTCGGACGACGAACTGGCTCCTGCTGGAGGATATCGGCCGCCTGGCGCACGGCATGCAGCAAGAACAGGAGTCACCGGCGAGCGCCCTCTCCATATATGCGTACCGTAACCAGGTCGACCGGCACAGGCCTGCGTGGCTATTAGGTGCTGACTGACTGTCAAAGTTGAGTGGGTAGAAAAATATTTTTTGTGCCCGCCCCGGCCATTCTGTTCTGATACCGGCTACTGGCCTAGCGCCCCCTCACTCTTCAAGTCAACCCTCCATTGAAATCTTCCCAATAGTTTAATTAATAATCGAAGTTTCAACCATCAATTTTCGTCGGGACCGGGTCATCAGGTCCACGTTCATGAAGAAGGCAGAAGATCCCCAGCAACATAAGAAAGATTATCATAGAAGAAAAATGACGACTTTAGTGTGGATTCTGAAGCTTCACAAAACAAATTGGAAATATTTCGAAACAACTCCACATCATATTCTTCACAGCTATTCAATATTTTGTACAAAGTTCAAGGCCCAAGATATGCCTTGCAATCACCTCACGCCATATAAAAGCGACTTTCGCTACGTTTCGTAGTTTGGCAATCTCATTAGACGGTTTTAACAATGGACTCAAGTCTCTCTACCGAGTGTCACACATATTAACAAGCTCTACTAGCGATGCAGCTCCGCATACAATAGAACGGTCTCTTGCGGTCGTGTCTACAAATGTTTGTTGACTTGACCGTAAAATGATAATTTTCGGTGATTATTGCAATCCTCAACTACGTACATTTCGCTGCAGAACGCCAAAACGATCCTCCTGCAGCTATCGGCTACCTCAACTGGCGAAATATCAACAGTTCGTCTGAATTCGTCGTTACAAATACAACAAAAAATAATGACTTGCATTACTGACTTTCGCCACAGTGAGATAATGGCAAAAAAATTACAAAAAAGGAAATGCTGTTCAAAAAAAAAAGAAAAAAGAAAGAAAAGATCTTAACGTTTAATATGACCTAAAAACACGTTATTACTTTCGAAAAGAATGTTTTAATAGTTCAAAAGCTTTCTAAATTTTCTAATAATATAGTTTTACCGAGACGCCAACGATATTTTCAATCAGTTCAAAGTCTAATATCGTGAAAATCGCGCTAAATCATTCTCCAGTCTTATGAGTAAATTCGTAAAATCACAGTCATCTACTGTACCTGGTTTTAGTATAAAGCTTTTATAATCTCGATATTAAGTCTCTGCAACAGTATTTTCTACTCTTTAAATTTTATCATTTGTCATATCTCTGTTCCTTTGTTCATGTCAAAAATCTCGTTATGTGTGAACTACGAAGTTAACTATAGGTGTAGAATCTTCACATTTCTTTGAATTTGAAACGAAATTTAAGTACAGGACGAATAGGCGAGCGTAGGATTTTAGAAGTTACCTTCATACGATCAGTGTTACTTGGAGGCTGCAATACAACAATTGACGTAAAGCAAACCGTATTTTGATACATATTAATATTTTCATAAAGTGCATCATTTTTGTTTCTCCCTTTACAGTGCATTTTGAACTCTCTTTTCGCACATTGCAAATCTCCAAAAGTAGCTATACATACATGTGCCTTCTCGTGATAACGTGTAGTTAGCTTGCTTTTGTCGGGCATATATTTTGCTGCAAAAAAAAGCCAGAAAACAATGCGGATATGACCACGGTAAAATGTATACGCATGAAAACATATACAATATACGTATTGTATGTGGACTCACATTTCGGAGCGGAACACATAATTTCTCTTCACTGCAGACACTAAGTACACTTTCACTATTTGTCCCAATTGCGAAGATTTTTTCATTCTCACACGGCTAACAGAGATTGGTAGACCGTCGAGAAAGTTTTCTTATAAATCTTTCTGACCCACAAGAAAGACAATGCTATTCAAGCATCAGAAACTGAACGAAGCAAGCGGAAGTCATGCAAATGTTATCCACAGAACACAAGATGCCGAATGTAAACATTTTGTAGTTCGGCGAGGTGGGAATTGAGTTTCGGAACTGCAAAGATAGCGAAACCTGTGACGCCTGAGTTTAAAAAACGATTTTGAGACTTTGAAAAGCGCACAATGTTTGGAAAAGGGCGTATCGCTGAGATTAATGCGAAATAAATGATCCTTTCAAGTGTACACCCTTGGGGTTTGCGTGCACGGTCATTTTTTCAGAATATGAGTGCAGGACGCTCGGCAGAAATTCTCAAGAATTCTCCACATTTCACACAGCTTCTTTATATGTCAGCTGCATATATAACAAGTGGTAATACTTTTATTCATTAAAACACTGCCGATTGATGAGTTTCGAATGCGTCAGAAATCCCTGCGGATTCTTCACTGAAAACCCCATTCCGGAGTACAAAAATCTGTTATCAGCCCCGATAGTATTTTATGATTATAGGAGACGATTAGGCCGGCAGACAACTTTTCGAACTAAAAATGGTCGGAACACAGCGGTCAAAGCGCGTAAAAATTGAGTTTCGTTTAAAACGAGGCCGGTCAAATTTAGGGTGAATCGTTCAAAGCATGACAGCTAGGAGAGTTGTTTCTTCGGGATCGAGGCGTTCTCGCAAAATATTTAATTTTATTGCGTTTTCGTTACCTATTTCGAAATTCTAGAAGATTAAGCTGATGTAGATTATGTAGAGGCTTGCATCGGTGTCTGAAATTTTTCTTTTTGATTTTTCTTTTGCAACCAGATCTCTTGATTTATTCCCTGCCTGACAGATTGAGTGCGTTGAAAAAACGCTTTTTGCATTTCTATAACTGTATACAGCTTTGACTTTGAATGGCATTTATATGAATACAGCCTTTTCTTCCCTTCACAAAGTTTGCATGAATACTTAAACGACAATTGTAATAAGACTTTTTTTAAGACTGCTAACAACGCTGACAAATGATGTAGACAAATATGTGAATAATGACATTTAGGAAGCTTTCATAAATTTTTATTTACGGTTTGAAAGAGGAAGTGCAAATTATGTGTAAAAAGCCTTTTTGGACAATAAAGAAGTGCCGCTGAAAAATGTCATTCAAGCGCATGTTAATACAAGCTGTTTGTCACATTTTTAGTTTGGTTCTTTGCATTTTTTGGACGCTTTAATCATGGCCGTAGCTAGATAAAGCTGTAACACTGGGCACCGAGTAGTCTTGTTCGTTTCTGTATTCTAATTAGGCTTTGTAATTTTGCGCTATATCCTTCAATCGTAGCTCTTTCTCCTTTATATCTCTATGTCGTTGCAAGCTGATCGCCTCTCTTCACAATCGCTTTTCCCTTCATCATCTTCTTCATGAGCGCCGAAAGGCAAACACTTGATATATTTATGACAATGAAAATGAGTAAGCAATACCCACTCCATTGTCTTTCGCCCAAAAAGTTTTCAAATTCGGATTGGAACATTTCCTTGGAAAAGAATTGGATGACGATGCTGTTAATTCTTGATGGATGCAGGCTTGATTAATAACTTCTTATCGCTTCTGACGCTGAGACTGGATAGGCTGACGATAAGATGATAACGATGTTTGGATCTTAGGAGATTTGAAGGGAGAAATTGGCGTTAACTGAAGTGATTCCCTGCAAGATGACACAAGAATATGTGAATCAGAAGTCATGCGACACAAATTTTAGTTTTATACTTCATTTCAGCTTAATTGCAGCCGTTGACGGAAAAATGCGGGAAGTAAGCAAAAGTTATTAGTGCAAAACCCCAGGAAAACAGAATTCTTTGTCTGCCAACTCTCTGTGTGTGGTGTTGTATTTCAAATCGAGATTCGATCAAACATTTACTCTCGAAAGTCTTTTACATTTTCTTTGTTTTTAAATTCAAATCATTTTTATAAACAAATTGTATCGGAATGGCCTTTAAACTGTCGTGAACTGTTACAACCCTGTAATAGAAAGTGTGGATTCAACTATTCTGTTGTATTTACAGCTTTAAAATTATTTATCGGTAGAAAAGCATGCAATTACATTTCTTTTTCTTTCCTATTTATCCTTACATATATGTATTTTTTTGATGTAGCGTCAAGTAGTTGTGTATTTTTGGATATTTATCGCGGAAATATTTTTGAAAGTTCTCAACTGATGTCTTTAGAAAGGCCCTACAGAACGAAATTCAATTTTGGTCGAAGACGAGATATTCCGGATGTTTAGTCATGGCCTACTACAACGACTTTTGTTGTCTCCACCTTCAGGCTAAAACTAAGTTGTGACCAGTTTTGTTGTCTTTGGCCGATTATGGAAGGAGATATACAGATCAATGTTTTTTGGATTTTTATCAGCAGTTTGCTGTCTTTGGGTTACCTACTTCCCCGCGACCACTTCGAATGTGCCGTGTCAGCGCCTCCTTGATTTAACACACACAGCTGCTCACACGTTTCCCTCTACCCTGCTGGTAGAGCCTTGTTGTCTTTTCCCATTTTATTTTTTTTGTATTCCTCGAAATTTGCAGATTTCGACGAAGAAATTCAGATTTATATTTTGATATATGATAACAAGAAGGACCAGAACTATTTTCAAATCTAAAATTTATATGCAGGTTGTAAAAGATGTCGGGAAGATGTGAAATTAATCAAGGCTTCCTTTTTTCAGAATACTTTGATGTATTCGTAACAAAACGGCACTCATTCTGTAGAAATTAAACAATGTGATGACATCTATCAAAAGTTACATCGCTTTCTAATTATATCTATATCCCGTATGTATGATTTATTTATTTGTGTTTCCCGTTTGTCTATTTATTTGCGATCCAGCTCGGAAGCCGGTTTTAGCTGTTTCAGAGAGTAAGAGATTTTAAGTACTATAACATGGAAGTTTGGGCTAAAACGCAATACACTAGACAGAAGCGTAGTCAAAATGAGGTTTAACTACATCTTTGTTTAGATTTGAAACAAAAATTATGAAATAAAATAGCAAGTTGTATGTCAAGTAAATCCTCTGTATTTCCTAATCTCTAATTCGCTTTTTCATATTATTTATATTGTAGCAAAACCGATTTTCCCTACGCGTTTGGGTTTTTGCAAGATGAACACTTTAGACAACGGACTGGAACCAAAGAGAAAGAAGCATTTGTAAACATTTGGAAAAAAA